ATTCTTAATCTTCAACTCCTGCAAAGGCCCCTGAATGAAGCCAAACACCTTCTAGGTTCTGCTGTCTTGCAAAGGGCCAGGATGCTGGACAAGGCCTGTTACAAGTTCAGGCATTCTGGGTGCCTTCAGGCGTCCAGACAGCCTTTCCAGCCTCTTCCCAACTCCCAGTCAGGGGCTCCGAGGAACGACAGGGGCCCCTCCAGCCGTCTCTGAATCAGCTCAGAGAAGCCCCTCTGCAGACTGGGAACCCACTTGTCTGTCCTTGCTGACAGCAGAGCCTCTCTCAGCGCTCGACACTCCCCACACGCCCCGCTATAAAGCAGACCCTGCCTCACACGCTAACGTGGCCCAGGTAGTTGGGGGTCCCCAGGGAACCTCAACGGGGCCCTGGATCTGAACCTGCTCCCTTCGCTGAGGCCCTCTAAGAGACACACCTTTCCCCTTAGCTCCTCCACCCCATTCGTTTACTAGGCTGAGACTTCTTGGGAGAGTATCATGTGGGAACCTCTTTCTCTCCAAACAGGGAAATAGTTTTAAAATCTGACAGTTGCCATGAAAACAGCCAAACAGGTGAATTAAACGGCCCTCTGGCCTCTTTTATTTGCTCGTCCCCAACAGTCCTGGAGCTCATTCTGGAAGCACTGATCATTTTGTCCCCAGAATCAACTGCAAAATCTCCAACTGATGCTGGCAAAGTCCACAGTGCACCTCCTGTCCACATTCAGACGTCCCCTGAGACCCCTGCCCGGAACCCGCCAGGGCCCTGCAAGTAGAGAAGCCCTCAGGCAGAGAGCCCCCGACACACGGCTCTGAGGCTGGCGCCAGGGCCTGTGATCGTCCTCCTCCACCTGCGAGAAAACCCAGGCTCCCTCCCTTGCATGTGGCTCACCGCGGGTGCTCGTCCCAAACTGCAATTCTCTGCTGCTCCCCAGTGAAGCCATTTTGCTAGGAAAGTGACCGGCCATTTTTCTGTCTGGGTTAACACTCCCAGTCAACGTGAGTGAGACAGAAAGCCTGAGCCTGTAACGGCAGCACATCTAGCGACTGAGCACACCGATACCGCCAGCCCTCGACACCACTGGGTGTGGCCACTCACTCCGATAGGAAATTCCACCTTAGAAAGTGCAGCTAGTGAACAAGAGAGAATAAAATAAATGCTTAAGAAAACAGGGAAAGAACAGCCAAGTAAACCCAAGGAAAGGAATGAACAAAGATGAAACGGAACCTTCTGATAAAGACACAGGAATCCACCCCCGGCTCCGAGCAGCTGCCTCTGAGGAAGCCCCCGGACAGGCGCAGAGAAATTCCATACACATCCGTGCGTAAGTTGAGAAACGCTGCCTAGCTGTAAAATGACTATAACTCAAAGAAACTTATAAAAAAAAAAAAAGAGCCCAGTGCAATGGTTTAATGGGTGGGGGGGGGATCTTAAAAAAAGAAAGAAAGAAAGAAACACTGTCTAACACGCTGCAGAAGAGATAAGAAGTGGGAAGAGGCAGTATTTAAAGAAACAGTGGCTGAGAATTTTAAAGAGTGGAAAAGGCAACCAGCAAGTCTCAAGTCTTCACACACGGATCCCTGAGCAGCTCACATGGAGGCGGGCAGCCCCGGGTGGACGCGGGACGGCACACGGGTCTGCGGGACGGCACACGGGTCTGCGGGACAGGAGCGGGACCGGGTCAGGAGGAAAACCTCAGAGCAGCCAGAGGGGGGGGGCCCCCACTCCCGCCCCCAACGAGGAAGGGGCTCAGACTGATGCCCGCTTCTCCGAAGACAGAGGAGTGCTGTGTTTAAGAATGTTGTAAGAAAAGGCCAACACAGAGGCCTCTTTCCAGCTGCACCATCGTTGCAGAAAGTAGGCAAAATAAAATCGTTTTAGGAAGACACAGAGAGTTCGCTGCCCACAGACTGTCCCTGAAAGAAAGACCCGTTCCCCGGACGGAAGGCCCTTCCCTCCCCGGACCCTCAGAAGACGCGCAGCGTGGCAGGGCGCTGACGCCGAGGAGCAAACGTGGGAAGAGCCTCAGCTGACCAGTTCATAAATGTGCCTGGAAATCACTGCTTCGGAGTCAGTAGGGTTCACCGTGGGGTTCTGGGTGCGTATGTGTGACTACAGTCAATGACTGAAACGTGAAGGAGTGTTTTACTACCTGTGTAACCGTGCCTAAGAGAGCACGCGGCGGCCCCTAGCCACTCAGAAGGAATGATGCGAGACCCCGGTCTGTTCTTTTTCACCAAGTTGGGAGAACGACCCGGTACTGAGACACCAGCGGCCAGAACACACAGACGCAAATTTAAACACAAGTTACAGCGATGAACCACGCCACCTCACGGAGTCGGCAGAAACCATTTCCTAATGAACATCTAGCTTTTGTGACATGCTTTCCCTGCGCAGATGGCCGGCGCTCCCCCGAGGGGATGGCCTGCAGAGCAGACTGGGGCCGCGGGACACGCGTGTGTGGCGTCCTTCGGCAGGCGTGTGCGCCCGGCTCAGCCACGTGGGAGCCCGAGCACAGTCAGGAACCTGTGTTCCCGTACAGCTGAACAATTTCTCAGCCTTCATTTAAATTTTTACAGGGGGAGGGCGCAGCTCAGTGGTGGAGCGCGTGCCTAGCACGCACGAGGTCCTGGGTTCACTCCCCAGTCCCTCCTCTAAACATAATCAAATAAACGAACCTAATTCTCTACCCCTCAAAAGTTTCTAAAATTAAATGAAAAATAATATTTACAGTGAGAAAACAGCTTTTATAATCAGAGGAAAACCGAAGGCCTTTTAAAGCACGTTAGCTGCCCCGTGCCTCGTCTCTCTGACATTCTGGAAAAGGCCAGACCACGGACCCAGTGGGACGGTCAGGGGTCGTCCGGGGTGGGGGAGGGACACCTGGCACTGCAGAGGGCGTCAGGCAGTGGAAACATCTGTATGACACTATCGTGGGACCCTGTCTTCACGCTTCTGTCCAAGCCCAGACCCACCCCGCCAGGACCAAGGGTCCAGGTGTCGATGCATCGAAGCAGCTCACGGTTGTGACAGACGCCCCAGCCGGTGAGGACGTCGTGACAGGGAGGCTGTGTGTGCGCGGCAGGGGCGTGTGGGCAGTCTGCGCCTTCTGCTTAACTGTGCTGTGCACCTGAAACTAACCCCCCAAAATAAAGCCTTCGAGGCCTGTTAGATGTTAAGGCCCTGCGACCCATCACCTCAAGGACTCCCGGCTGTGTGCTGGGTCCGAGGAAGGAAAAGCAGAGCCGGGGGCAGGAGGAGGGGCAGGGGGCAGGGGTGTGAGGGCGCCAGAGCCTCCGTCCACCCGCTGGCCGCCCGTCTCTGGGCCCCCACCCCCGCAGGCTGTGCTGGAGACGCTGCGGTCTGGGCCTCGTCCACAGCAGGTGGTGTGCTGGTCTCTACTTGGGAGGTGGGGGGGCACTCAGAGCCGGGCGGATGCGACGTAAACAGGGACTGGGCCACCTGCGGACACTGCCCCCACCCCCTCTGCCTGTCTGGAAACGTGGATCTGGGGGCCTGGACCCAAGAGGGAGGCCCGTGGCTGGCGCAGGGGCCTGACCTGGTCCGAGGGGGATGTGGACTGAAGGCTGGACAGGTGGCGGCAGGTCTGGGTCTGCTCCGCCAGGGCCCCGAGGAATGAGGTCCCTTCCCAGCAGCAGACAAGCGAGGACAAGCCTCAGGGCGGGTCCTGCCTGGCGGCGCTGAAACCAGAGGTAGCCAGAGCAGGTGTGGCTGGACGGTCTTAAGGTTTTCATATTGCTCGGTGACGACGAGATACTTCTGTCATGGCGGGTCATTCTGTCCCACTGAATGACGGCAGCCACACAGTTTACGAACCAGATAAACCATCTTTGTGAAAAAATGCATAGACTAGTCTTGCCAAACGCCCCTGCTGTCAGGTCCAAACACCCGTCGGGGAGCCTAGAAACCTTTGGCCCCGTGGTGCACGGGGGGGGGGGTGGCTGACCCAGAAGGAAACAGACTGTGCCGTTGACACAAACTGCAGGCGAAGCAGAGGTTCCCAGAGCAAAGCCCGCCCTCCTCCACTGTCTTCTCCCCGCGCCTCCTCCCCCAGGCCCCCCGGGCACACCGTGCACCACGCTGCGGTGAGCCGCCTGGCGCGCGGAGTGTGGTCGGAGGGGCCAAGGCTGGGTCCTCCCCGACGCGGCGAGAGCCGT